CATTTTTACTCACATCAGAAATCTTGTTAAGCTTCTAAATATTTCCCTTTAGTGAGGCAGATGTTTCTTCGACACTCAGTGACTTGGTATTCTAAGAAAACATAAAGAAAGTACATTTAGGACATATAATCATGTGGTGTGACTAGAAAGTAATGTGACTGATTTGTCAACAAGCGTACTTAGAATTATATATCCAAATGAGCACTGTATTTCCAAGCAGCCACTTTGGGAGATCAGACACATTTCAGTAGCATTGCCATTGCTCAAAACATTTCAAACTTCTCCTTTAGAATTGCTCTCAGAAATAATTTATGAAGCATACAAGACTCAGGCTCATTGCTTTATAAATTGCACCTCATACAGCAGTAACTTGAGGGAGAGCAGAATCAAGAAAAAATAATTTCTCCTTTCTTTTGTTTATAAAAGAAATTTAAATTTTAAATTATTTAATCCCAAATTAAACCTGCCTATGTAACTATTTTATAAATCTCTGGAGACAGTTGTAAAAAATAATTAGTATTCCTTCTTTGCCTCTTATAATTTGAATAGAAACGTAAGATGGATTAATTATCAGAGCAAAGATCTGCCCTGTTCATCTGAACTTATTCTGTAGGTCTTGTTTATTTTCCCACAGATTACCTTAGCAAATTCCTCAGGATTTTATTACTTCTTATTCCTTGTCATTCCTCTCTGTCATCCACCTTCTTTATCATGCTGTCTTTTTCCAAAAATTCTCTGAATAGTATTCCTAAAAATATTCCACACCACGATTGCAGTAATGCAGGTTGTTATAGCAACAGTGGCTCAGAAGGCTGAGGCAGGAGGATTGCAAGTTCAAAGCCAGTCTCAGCAACTTAAGGAGGCTCAAAGTAACTCAATGAGACCCTGTCTCTAAATAAAATACAAAATAGGTTTGGGGATGTGGCTCAGTGGTAGAGCACCACTGAGTTCAATCGCTGGTACCACCACCACCCCAAAAAAGAAAACAATTTCCACACCACTTTGTAGCATTAGCCTTTCTCTAAGATTGTGCTACCCCAGTTCTTCTTTTATTCCTAAGAGTTAGCTGTTGCTCTGCGTTCAGAAGTTACCGCAATATTTAAATATCTATCACATAGTTCTCCATTCTATTTTTCTGTTCCATTTCCTTTGTTAAACTAAATCTAAGAGGTGAACAATCAACATCACTTAACTACCAACCCCCACCACAGGCCATGCTCCAACCCTACCACTTCCAACTTATATATAATCTTTAGAAAGTTATTTAAACTCATATGAAAAATGGACATAAAAATCTTATCTATCTCATAGAACAATAACCCAGGAAATAATGGTTGAAAACTTCCTGATACATGCACTCAATGTACATTAGCTAGTATTAGTTCAAATACTCCATTATTTTAATTATTTATCCTAAAATCATTCATGAAATCCTCATGTAGATATCATATCAATTTTTAAAATAGCATTCTCTAGAAGTTGCATATAGTTAAATGTCTTGCTTTTACTTAAATTACGCAAGCACCATGTCTGAGAATCAATCTCCTATTAATTTTTTTCTCCTACCTTTCTTAATGAAGTATAAATAGAAGTAATTTTTATGTTAATGGAGATGTTTTATAGAGATTTAAAAGGACTTTATTGTCTCTGAATAGCTATAACAATGGTGCAACCTCTGACAGGAAAACTAATCAAATAGTGTCTAAACAATCTGTGCGTCTCCAAGCTTTCTTTTACATATTTACTTCCCAGCTTTTCCTTTGATATTACTGTGATCACAAGTGGAAACAGCATTTGCTCAGAGCACTGGGTTAGACATCTGTTCCTTTGACCCCCCCCCCAGACAAAGGGACACCCCAGGACTGTGGTTTATTTTTTCATCCCTCTGCAGTCACCCTTGCTTAACCCTTGTTCTCTTGCCTTGAACTACTACTGTACCAAACTTTTTTTAAAAAAGGTTCTGAAATTTTTTATTAAAATCAAAAACAAAGAACTGGCACATTTTTAAAACTAAAAAAATTGACTGCAGAGTTCAGTTCCAAACTCTGATAGTTCCAAATATAAACATACGGTTTATAAGTATTTACTTAATCATAAGTCAAAAATGTAAAAAAAGGAACTACCTCTAATTCTACCAATTCTTCTCTAATTATTTTCACTGATAAATACAAACTCGATATACTTAACAATATGTTTCTTAACTCCCCCCTGCCTTTTTTCTTACATTCTTCCAATTCATTTTACACGTCTTAATCATGTTCATTTTCCACAATTATCCATTTCATAATCACTGGTAAATATTTTCTATTCCTCTGTTACCTATCATGATCTCTTACACAATGTAAGCACTCTATAAATTTTTAGTATAAATTTCATATCCTTGCAGAAAAGCATGATTGATCTAAGGTATTCCTTACTATTATCTGAGCCATGGTTCTGTGAACATTAAATATAAGCAGAAAGAAAATAAAATAATCATATATAAATAATAATATATCATAATAAAATAATCATATATAAATAATAATATATCATAATAAAATAATCATATATAAATAATAATGTATCATAATAAAATAATCACATATAAATAATGCTATATAAGTTGCACTGACATGCACTGATCTCCCCTTCGTCTCTCATCGTAGCCTTGTGAGATAGGTACCCCTCCATTTCTGTAGTAAAGGGATTCAAAGAGGTCAGGGTTACTGTCCAGTATGAAGTAGTCACACCTAAGCACTCACTGCTTTTGTCTCAACATTTATAACTATTTTGTTATATTCCTATCTTATTTTTTTAGAGAGAGAAAGAGGATGAATCTTTTTTGTAGATGAACACAACACAATGCCTTTTTTTTTTTTTAATGTGGTGCTGAGAATCAAACTCAGGTCCCATGCGTCCTAGGCGAGGGCTCTACCTCTACCGCTGAGCCACAATTCCAGCCCCTACTTGTATCTGATTTTAAGCAGGAGTTTAAAGACTGGAGTTACCTGGATGTATTAGATTCCTATTGCTGCTATAATGACCTATCACAAACTTAGTAGCTTAAAACAACACAAGTTCATTAGTTTAGGGACCAGGGGAAGAGTCCAAAATAAGTCTCAGTGGGCTAAATCAAGCATTGGCAGAGCTGGTTGCTTCTGAGGGGTTAGAAGAAAAAAATCTGTTCCTAGCCCTTTTCAGCATCTAGAGGCTGCTTGGACCTTGGCCCCCTCCTGTCCCTTTAATCTCTTGCCTCCATTCCCACACACCCTACTATTCACTTTAACCCTCTTGCCAATTCCTCTTAAAGGATTCCAGCTAGTTACAATGGGTCCACCAGGATAAACAACTCCTTTTTGTCATGGAAAATTAACATATTCACATTTTTCAAGCATTAAGACCTAGACATCTTTGGGGAGCCATTATTCAACCTGGGGAAAAGCTCTGATAATGGATACTGAACCCCTATAGACAAAAATCTGGTGGTATTTATATGTCCCAACAATGTCTATATCTAGCAATCTTTTATGGGGATGTATTGAACATTGCAAAGAATCATTCAAGCAGAAAGTTTATCTCCTCACCTGCTCACAGTATTATGGATTTTCACTCTGATACATAAAATTCAATTTTTGAAAACAAGCTTGAAAGAAATGGGAAGTGCATATTAAATAAATAATAATTTTGGTGTGTAGAAGGATTTATGAGAAATGTCATGTTTGTGATTATATTGAACTCAAAATAGAAATTTCAATTTTTGTTTTAAAGTTTTAACATAAAATAAACCTTTTCCTGACTCCTGTTTCTTAAAGTCTTTGCAGGGATTTTATCAAAAGGATCTTTAAAAATGACAGCTTGTTTTCAAAAATATAATATTTTCATGCATATGTTATAGAGTTAGTACTTCATTATCCCCCTCAGCAAAACAAAGTCAAAATATGTTTAATGATTCAGTTTTTGCATATCATAAGACCATTACTTAATGGTGCATGAATTAACAAATCAAGCTAATTGATGATATCCCTTCTGAATAATACACTGACTTTTTAGGTCATCTCTTCTTCTGTCATTCTCAATAGTCCCAGGGTCATTCCCAGACCTGGGATTTCCATAAAGCAACTAAATGCGGATGCTTTAATAAATATTAAGTCAGGGAGAAGCCAATTTTCTGTGACATTCTGAGATTTTGTTTTGTTTTGTTTTCCACCCTGAAAATCATCAATCTTTCAGAAATGTTTAATTTACACTGGGGTTCATAAATATATGATAGTAGAATTTTACTACCAAAGAACTCATCACATTGAGATAAAAGCTTGCCAAAGCATGGGATACAAAGCATTGACTACAATTATAAAAATAACAGTATATGGTTTTGGTTTTAATAAATATATCATAATTACCTTAAACATCAACATGGCAAGAAAAAAAGATTGGCATAAAATTTCATAAAATTCCTGGCTAAAAGTCATAGGGAAATAAGTGATATTATACTACAAAAACTGCAGAAATTCCAGAATAAAATATAGTACTCAATGTAGAACATTTTAGCCCATGTATAACATGACTTACATACTTAAGCATTCATCATAGTTGTTTGAGTATATTAGAAGTAGAGCCTTCCTCCCACTTCCCAAAAATCAAAGAACAAAGGAAAACAAAATGATCTTTTCTCCAGATTAAAAAACCAAAGGTGAATACTAAATGTATAGACATTAAATCTATATTTTGATATTTACATTCACTGAATTTCGTATGAACAATAGTTTTCTTGTAAATGAATGTATATGAACTTCTAGAATTAAATTTTCAAATGGAATATCTGTCTGTTCTGATAGCGACTCAGAGAAATGTCACGTTGATTCAAATGTGTTACTTAGAAGTTTGTTTTGACCAGTGAAAAGTTAACAAAATGAAAAAAAAAGCTGAGAATAGCATGATTTAAAGAATGCCATTTTATAACCCAGGGGACAGGTATTTGCATACTAATTGTAATGTTCCTACTGTCGCATTACCTTCAGCTTGAAGATCAGTCAGAAAGAGAAATTCGGCATCATCTGTGACAGTCAGACAGTGGACGAAAAATGCCAGTGAAGTGAGTTGCCCTTTAAAGCTATTTCTATCTCAGAAGATGTAAAAATGAAACACTGAGTCTCCATTGGTCTAGATGCTGCCTTTTCTTCGTTTATGATAAATATGCTAATTGTTGCCTTACCTCCTGATTTATTCTTTTTTCTTTTCTCTATTGATTTCTTCTTCTTCTTTTCTAAAATATGTCAACCATGTGGGGCTTAAAGAAAGGTTATAAAGTGGAGAAAGACCACTAAGTGTCTCTGTATGATGTTTTTCAAGATTATGAGATGAGTTAGAGACATGACATGTATACAATCCTTGCAAAAATTATTCATTATCACAACACTCATGGAGAAACTTTTACATGGATATTAAATGCTGGGTAAGAAAGCAGCTGTCACTTCCTCGGGCACATGGACTCCTTGCTTGAATTTTCCATTCTCCAGCACACTGCTAATTGAGTGTGAACAGCTAAGTTGTTGGATTCCACATTTTTAATGCAATACAACTGGTTCTAGCTGGCACAATTAGCAAGATAACTGGTAGCTTTCACGCAGTTCCCATCTGGCCTGGCTCTTCTCTGGACATATAATATGGGTACTGCTGGCCTTGATGGCACTTGCTTAATGAAGAAAACAGAAAGGAAATCAGCCAAAACCCCATGAAATACGAAGCGCAATTTTGGCTCTGTAGTACAAAGTGAATTTTCATGGCAAATCATACACACACACAAAGTTACTCTCATTATGCATCAGAATTTTAGAGGAAACAAACAACATGCAAGTCCTCACAAATCCTCTGTTAAAATTATAACTATACTCCAAATAAAAAGTAAAATAAATGACACACTGTCCATTTACTTTAGGTGACATACATCAAGGAAAAAAACATCAACCAAGACAGCACAGTTTTAAACCAGCCGCCTTCTATTTCTTCTCACTTTTATTCAATAGGTTTCTTTCCCGACATTTCTAAGTTGCATTGTTTAAAACACAAAATCATATTTCTCATTCATATCTAACCTAAAAAATGTTCTATTTTTATTTGTCTATGTTCAAGCTTTAAGAATATCTTGTGTAAACTTGCTATTGAGTAGTCAATTACCACAATTAAACTATTATTTAGAACAAACAGTTGTATGAAGTATAATAAAATTTCTATTGCAGGAAATCACTTTCAAGATATTTATTACATGTTTCAAAACATAAATAAGGTAAAAGCATATATGTATTCACAGAGTCGTTTTAGAAAGAAGTGTGAAGATTTAGGGTGATAAGCCCACACGCCATTAAATTCTAGCTCCCCATTACTGTCTCTGGGATTTGTACCAGTTACCAGCACCTCTGAGCCTTTTAACTCACAAATAATGTGGGAATAAAACACATTGCTATTTTCAAGATTAAATGAGGTAAATTATGTGATGTGCTCGCACAATAGTGTACATTGTAAACATTCAATAGATCATTGTGCATTTTAAAAAGTGCATTATAGTCTTTTGATTTTTTTCAAAAATACCAATAATCTGCTCTTTCACATAATTGAAAATATACAAGAAACCCAACATTTAAAAGGAATTAAATGGCAATAAATGAGGATTATTCCTTAAAATGGTTATATGCCACCTAATTTCTAAAAAGTAAATGCTGCATTACCTCCAACCCTTTCCGCATATCAAGTGTATAAAAAATGAACTTTCTGGCTGAGAAGTAGGTTAGCAAATAGTGAGGTGGGGGTACTAGGCATTGTCACACAGCTGCAGGGGTAACCCTTTATAGCAACGTAGACATTTGTGGACCCCAATTAATACTAGAATATCCTAGCAGCTCTAATTCTGTTGCCTATAAGGTTCCATACGTGTATCTATAGAACATCTGTAATCTTTTAGTATATCTCTGCAACTCCAAACAGCAGTTTTCCTTTTGTCACAGATTGTTTATATCTCCCAGATTTTGTTTTCTTCTTTCTGTTTTCACTACTTTACCTTAATGAAGACAATAAGAAGAAGGGCTACCATTTATTTGAACACTTTCATTTTACAGGACTACTTTACATCCACAAAGGTCTTTGTGGACTATTCTTTTAACCAACACCTGGCTCTTCCTACAGGACCTGCCTTTCTCAAGGCCTTCTTCATTAGATGTTGTCCCTTCTATCCGCCTCTCATAGGTCAGGGTTGAGAGTGAAGTTCATCATACCCTGTTCCCCCTCAGGGATGCTATTAGATCATTCCTTGTCTTCCTCTCTCAGAACATGCTAGGTCTTTGAAAGCTAATACAATTAACTATACCTTTCAATAATCTTTTTATCATTGTAATCTATCAGTACCTTGAAAGCCATTGCCCCTCTTCCTTTGAAGGTTTAATACCTGCCATTATTTGGGGTTTAGTCGTTCATTGCTTGTTTGTTAATAAGTTCAATAAGTATGTCTTGGGCCAGGCACACTGTTCCCAATGGTAGTAATAACATTTAGTTCTATCATCAGAGAACTGGACATACAGCAGGGGAAGCAGATGTTCATCCTTGAATGAATTTGCTTAGATTCTATTTCTCAGTGTTTCCCTGGATATCTGCTCCTCTTTCAAAGCAGGTGTGCTGTGTGGACAGGCTCCCATCTACTCTCTGCATTAGCATATATTTCACAGGTACTGAGTTGCTTTTAACTTGAATACCCTGCTAACCACCAAATTTTAGTCTGCTTTTTTAAATACGTTTTAAACATGTACATTCCAAGTGTTCATTTGATTTTAGAATTCCTATAAAACCTAATATTTAGAGACATGAAATATAACATAGTTTATTCAAGTAACAGATTATCTAATGCACAAGAGCTCTTCAATGTAAAACTAAATCTCGGATTTAGTCTCATCCTCCATTTATGAAAGATGGGAACCGAACAATATAAACCTTTAAAAATTTCCATTCCAATGGAAAACCACTATTTCAAAATGGTCTCCCTGATAATCTTGTGTCCCCAGAATCTAGCAATCCAAGAGAGAGAGAGAAAAATCAGTGGTCCATAACTGAGGAAGAAACTTTGAGATAGGAAATATAAGTAATAAAAGACAGAAAAATGAATTCCCACTCACATTATTCTGCATGCCCTCCCCTGTTTTCTGAAAATACAACTAATACTGCAATAACAGAAGGGAGCACGATCAGTCCTCACAAAAATTATAAAACTGCAGCAAATTGTAAGAAGTGATAGGCTGTGATTGTCACCTTGATGTGCAAATGCAGTTTTATAAGGATGACAAAATACAAGACTATTTCTATTTTGTAAGTCATTTTAATATAAACCTTAAATTAGATCATCCCTTTCCATAACTAAGTCATTTTCAAATCACAGTCATATAACACATTTGTTTGTTTATTTATTTTTCTGGCCAGCAGATGCTTTCTGTGGATGGGGTTTATTTTATCAGGACCTTCATTTATTAAGAGGAATGATGCATTTGCATTCCAGAAAGTTTATATATTAAACCTAATTTATTATTTCAACATCACATCCCCCAAAGTATACCTTCCTCAGACAACTTAAGTCTATAAATTTTTGACTGCTTTGGAAAAGACATTACTCTGTCCTGACAGATTCCTAGATTTAAATAAATCAATCTAGAATTTATTTAGCTTGTATCAGTCTAAGGAGAAGTAAAGGCTGACTCAGTGTGGGGCAAATATTCTGGAAATACTATGTTCAAATATTTTTTAAGATCATCAGATGTTAGAAAATCTTAAAATTTTTTCTGAACTTTTTCAAGATGCATAATTATTAAGTGGATAGTTTTGTGTACTGTGAAAACTTGGAAAGTAGTTTTAAGTTCTTCATTATAGTTATCAAAAGACATTTTCAAGGAATAAAGCAGAGTAATGCCACTTAAATTTCTAATCATAGTTAAGAAGAAATTCACTATTACTCCACCAATATTGCTCTCGTATTTTTTTAGAAATAAGAATTTACAAATGAATAGGTTAGTAAACAATTTCTTGTTATCAATGTACATCCTACTTCATGTTGCTATAACTGTTCACTGTGAAAAAGCATATGATTTTTGTTGACCTTTTGCTGTTTGATTAAGGACACAAAGCTCATTTTAAATAATGTAGTTCCACAAATATATATAACTCAAGTATTAATATAGGTTACAGAAGAAAAAGATCACAATGCTATTGTCAAGGGTAGATGTTGTTTCTACAGGTCACCAGCCACAGAAGCAATGGCGTGGTCTGAAAATATGGACACACTTTTAGCCAACCAAGGTAAGATCCAATTAATAATAGGTTTTGAAAAAATACAATAATCAAATGTTAATCATTAAACTCTGAAAATGGCAGGCATAAAATATGATCAACATTTGAAGTATATATAACTCCTAAAAGTGACAAATTCAAAGGCCCAAGGTCAAAGACCAAAAAGAATTTACTTGGGTCTAAAATAAGTTTATAGAGACTCTAAACGTTAAAACAAAAGGAAAAGTTCAAACAAAAAATAAGAAGTTTCCCAATTCTTCAACCTCATCAGCATTTGATGTATAGAACAAATGCCTGTCTTTGGGACTAGTGGAAAAAAACATACAACTATCAAAAAGTTTAAAACTTAAATGAATCCCTTTATTTTTAGCTAAAATAAAGATTTTTTTAAAATATACATTTTAACTAATTCTTATTTTTAGTAAATACAAAAACATTTAAATGTGTGTATTTTAATATGTATATATGTGAATATTCATTTATATTTTGCAAGAGGTTTAATAATATAATTTTGGCCAGTGATAAAATGCCCTAGTTGTGACATGAAGTAAGTATATACAAAATAGTCACAAAGGTATTTACAACTTCTGTTGTGTTACACATAATCAGCTTTTCAGCAGTTCTGTCTCATCCCAGGGAGGGAAAACGACACTATAGACACATATATAGAAAATCTTATAACGATATATTGTTTGTACTAATCAAATGATATTTCCATTTTAAATTAACTAAAACAACCAAAGTATTTGAAAAGTTCAAAACACAATAAAACTGAGTAATTTCTTCACAGCTATTTATTCATATATGTTAGATTAAATTACATGAATCTAGATACTCTGAATCTATAATTCTTAAATAATTAAATCCTAAAATAGTGTGAAATAATCAACATAACTCCCAGAATCCAACTAAACACGCATTAAAGATGTTATGGATATTAAATTGCATTTTTAGAAGTTTTGAATGCTGTGCTTCTTTTTCTCTTGTGTTTATAATGAATGTGACAGATCAGGTTTGCTAAGAGTCTGGCCAAAGTGTTTCTGCTGGTTGTGACTTGCTCTGCAGGCTGCAGGCAAGAAGGATTCTACCCAATGGTACCACAGACCAAGGCAAGGAGAGGCAGCCTTGAGATGAAGGCAACTGTTTCCATCTGCATACCCACTAGGATTTCATAGTTCATGCATTAAAGAGCAGAAAGTTCGAATTTTCATCATTTGATTTTGCCTTTATAATACCGGAGAAACAGCAAACTACACTTGCTTTTAATACTTGAAATGGCTGAGGACTCATCAAGTTTCCTAATTGTTTTTGTCAACCTGAAAATCAGTGTGCATAGACTGAGCATATTCCTTCCTTACTGTATTTTTCTCTCCCTATTGTTGACTTATTCCATTCAACACCCACCAATCCATCCATCCTGTAGGGTGCCCTCAGGTAATGATTTTAATTGTATGTAGCACATTATTCCAAAATCATTTGGCATCTTTTGAACATTCAAATTGTATGTACGGAAGGGAAAAGTAGGTCATTTAAGTATTGTGTCCAAGACAGAGATAAATAGCACGTTTCAGTTATTTAAGTTGCTTATTTTGTTCTGTTTTGTGTTAAGCCAAGCCTTGGAAGTAAGAAAGAATACATTGTTAGTTCAGAGTAGCCCTTCATTAAAACTGGAGAACAGGAGAAAATAATAATAGTTTCTTGATCTCTAACTTCCCATCTCTCATTTAAAGGAAAGCCTTTAGATAATTCTCATAAGGAGAAAGTTTCATCTGCCTTAATGGTACACATATAAAATATTGCCAGGCATTAATTCACAAGATTCTTTCAGTATTATTAAAGTAGACTTTATTCTTTATATAAAATAGCTTTCAGCATAGATCATGTTTGGATCTCTCAAATGCATCATTGTTTAGACCACATTCAGAGAAAATTCTAATTGAGTGTTACTAAGATTTTTATAATCTAAATTTTTGTCATAGAAGCTTCTTGGATATATTTTTAAGTGCAAGCAATGTGTAGTTAATTGAATTTTCATATAGTGCTCACTTATTAATGACATCCACACTCTCCAATATTTCTGCTGAGAATTTTAATTGGTATCTGGGACCTTTTGCAATGACTTTTTTACTCCAACATTATTTCAAATAATTTTTAAATGTTAAATCTATTTTTAATCCAGTGATTTTAGACACTTTAATATTGCTCTGGAAAAAAAATATTTTCTGTTCTCTCTTGCTAAACTTCCCTTTTGCTTCCTACTGGCAGCAACCTATAAAAAACTGGTGTAGTCCCCTTTCTATTAACTTTTTTTATTATATAGTTATTTTCTCTGGTCAACTTTTCCTATCCCCAGATTCTCCATAAAATTTAACCTCTCCCCTACATTGGAACTTGAAGGATGAACTCTCAGCCTGCAGGCAGAGAATTGCTTTGTGCACATGCAAAGGGGTCCTCCTGTCAGCTGAAGGAGAAAACCACTCATGTTTTGGAAGGCAAATTCCTTTGAGAGGCAAAATCCCTGATGTACATTTTCCTCTTCAGAGAGCTATAAATACTCACTTAGAAATGGTGATAGTCCTCAGAAGAATGAAAACTATGATACTGAATAACATGCCTTTAACACACTAGCTTAGTGTGGTCAACAGAGGGGATCTGAATAAGATTGTTCTAACCTGTCAACTAGTAGCACACTCTTAACTGTACTTGGCCCTAAAATATTTAAGAAGAATTGCCTTCTCAATTGAGCTCTGGATATACCAAAAAGGAATATTTCGGGGCACATTTTGATGAGAAAAGCAGAGAAGTAAGGGTCTAAAATGGTTTTTCCAAACTTAAATATCTATAGGAGCATGGAATAAGGATGTAAACTTGGCTGGAGATAAGGTGCTGGGAGTTGAGAGAGACATATAGGGATAATAGATCACAAGCTGTGACTATGGTTATCAAATTTTTTTTAAATGCATATACGAGCAAAGTTGAAGGAAAGTAACCTGCAAAGAAATGGGCCTATTTGCAGTTCTTAGTCTAAAGTTGCCAGAGAAATACATGCACAGGAGTATACCTGGAAGCAGGAGAAAAATACCACCCTAGGTACTGAGAGGGAGATTGGGAGGCATCATGAGTATTGTGCTTAAAGCAAGTTGGAGAGCCCCACCATTTGCCTCAGAATTAAAAATTACCTATCAGCAAATAAACAGAAGAAGGAGCATTCACACAAAATACCTTACTAGTTACTTTCTTGGTTTAAATATATTTGTCCAATCTAGTCTTCCCACACTAATAAAGACCAACATTGCCTCCTTTGCTTTAAGCCCAAACCAACACAATTTAATATGTTACTATCAAATTGTGTTTTGTCATCAATTCACAGTGACACAGTCATTCTTACTGTAAAGTCATTATAAGAGTGTTGACTTGACTTAGGGCAGTATGTCTAAAAAGCAAAGTCTATGGGGTCTCCTATGAAGTACCATTAAGACCTTCTCTTTAACATAACTGTTCTTTACAGATGTAGAAAGAAAAAGTACATATTTTCTTTGTTAATGGCGTTAATTTAAGGAAAATAAATATAAATATTTTATGTCTTTGATAACTGATTGAAAATAATTTCTCTAAAGTTAGAAATCGAAACATAACAAATGTTATATTAAGTGGAATGATAAAACACTTGCCACTGAATACTCAATAAATGCTCAATACAATGTACTCATTTTGCACATATTATTGCTATATATCATATCATTCAAAAGTTCTTATATATTTTATAGCTGGTTTAGATGCTTTTCGAACATTCCTAAAATCAGAGTTCAGCGAAGAAAATGTTGAGTTCTGGCTTGCCTGTGAAGACTTCAAGAAAACAGAAAGTGCTGAAAAAATTGCTTCCAAAGCCAAGATAATTTATTCTGAATTCATTGTAGCTGATGCCCCTAAAGAGGTGAGTGAACTACTTCAGGACAATGAAGTTTCATCCCCTAACAAATCTGCTGCCAATTAGAAGCAGATTAGTTTAATCCTTCTAAAGGGTAATCAAATCATTGCTATGTATTCAAATATAAAATGTCAGTGGATACCAAAGGAAGCTCCTTAAGATGATCGTGTCTTTCAACGACTCAGCTAACATTTCTCAAAACCTACTTACTATGTATAGATGAGGCTTGACCAATATTTCTATCTCCATGGCACCATACACAGGGTTTCGAGAAACAGTGTCAAATATCTCAAGTTGAACAGCTGAAGTCAATCTGACAAATATCCCATTTCAAAAAGCTGTTGGACTTGCCGTGCAGTTTCTTTTTTTCTTTTGGGGAACCATAGAGTTAAAAGGCCCATGTGGCATAACATTTTGAGTACTTTCTTCAAAAGTTAAAAACTGCCCACTAGCCAACAGTATAAAATTTTTCATTTTTAATATCTTAGAAGTCCATTTTATGGCATATAATACTATCTTACTATGGAATGGAGGGGTTGTTTACTTATATTTCTTGGATGGTGAAAGTCTAAAGTGTAAGGCATTGTACCCAATGATCAGGACCCACCTGTCTACTTAAAATCAGAAAAATGGAGAGGGTCTTAGACAGAAGCCTAGACAACTCAGAAAATAGGACCCCAAAAGCATTTTATGTGTGGAACAACCTATTTATATTTGACTTAATTTCCAGCACCAATACTATGATCAAACATTTCCAGATACTCTTTTCATCTTAACTGAACAGGTTAAGCAATTTGTATTTTTAAATTTCTTTAGATCCCTTGCCAAAGATATCATGTAAGCAAAAAGATTTAAAGCATAAGCAGCAAGCAAACAGGAAGCTATGTTAAACTTCAAGCACTACACATAAACTCAGGAGATCTGTCATCTTTCCCACAGAGGTAAAATACTCAGATCCTTAGAGGTGATAGTTGCCATATTTTCTGACCCCTAATGAGGATTCATGGTATGAGAAGGATGGTTGTACTTTTGGGGACAAAGGGTAGATGAGATGAAGTGCAAACACCTTCATAAAAATCTAGGACATAAAGTTATCATATCAGTAGTTCAAGTTTAAGATGGACATTAATTACTGCAGACTGTATTGGTCTAGTTTTTCTTTAACAAACATGAACCACTGAAACATGGCCAGGAATTCATGGTGGAAAAGGAACTTGAACTCCTGCAGAGTTATTTCAACATTCATTTCCGAGTCACCATCTAAAAATCAATAAATAATTCTAGAAAATTGAAAATGTAGTATGTAAGTTTTGTCAAGTTGATTAATGTGCCATTCCCTAAAAGGCTTTGAAACCAGCCCTGAAAATATTCTATCTTGTGATATCAGTTCGAAAGCCATTTTTCTCTTCTTTATTAATCCATCTAAAATTAACAAATGTTGCTTTGGAAAAGCATCATCAAATATCATGTATAAAAAAATCTTCTAATAAAAAATGTAGTATTTTAATTGCAGGTGAATTCAAAGTTATAATATATAAGAAATTATTTTTTATTTTTCTAACCTTTCCTTCCAAAGTAAATGCACACCATAATAATTTAATTAAATAGCATAGTTATATAGTTATTATTTTAGGACATAAATTTTTCATAGGTTTTTATATTTTACCCATCTGATTAATTTTAAGTAAATAAAATATAATTAAATTATGGCTTCTTTTCAAGTAATAAATTGTCTCCTTGAAGAATCTCTAAACATAGACTGTCAGATATGACAAAATTCATTGGAAACAAATCATGTCTTTACATACACACACATATACTCATTCTCTTTCCTATTATTTACTATTCATTGTTTCTAATTCAAATTATTAAAGAGCATTGCTTGCTAAGTTTTATACCAATTGCAATCTTCAAAATATTTTTCTACAGTTTATCAGTTTTATGTGAGATACGACACAGCAGTTAATGTGCTTATTCATTAAACTGATGTTTGTTTGTCTCCACAAAGAAGTCACAGAATTAAAGGAGAGATTGACAATAAGACGAGACAAACATACAATGGAATATGTGATAATAAAATCATATTTAAAATTCATTATTAGCACTAGGAAAAGAGTGATTAATTTTACCTGGAGAGACAGTTTTATAGCATGGTTCCCACAGGTAAAAGAAAGGTCATGAAAAACAGATCATGTTTTATGAAAAGAGCAAATGAAGAAAGAATATTTCAGACTGAGAGTACACTGGTTAAGTACCGAGGTAAAAAAACACGCTAGCATGTTCTATAAATCATAAGTATTTTTATATTGCTAACCCAAGCAGAGAAGGGGGTTATAAGATTAGGAAGGAAGCAAAAAGTGAAGATAAAGACATGATGGCAAATACTCTAGGTTCATCTAATAGGCTGACTTGACATGATTAGATGATAAATTTGATATGAAGATTGGAAGATACAATGATTTTCATAAGTAGAATATTCAGATGAAATTAACGTAAAATAGTCTCCATTTTCTATATTCAATTATTGTATAGCTTATTCTTAATAAAAAATCAAAATGATAACCAATTTCATCAGTAGAAAATCCTAAAATAAAGGACTGTGACAAAGTTATCCAAAAATCTATTAAATTCCATTTACTTTCCTTTTTAACTTCTTATATCTTTACTGCCATTATCTATAAAATTGCTAGCATAACTTAATTTTCAATTGATTACAATTAGACAGTTTGCAATTGGACTATACTAAACTTACTAATAAATGTCCCCTATTTATAGACTGAGAATTTTTATGGTTGTCAGTTTTTTGCCCTACTAGGCAGAGACTGAATACTTTGATCTCTAAGAAAGGAACTAATAATTTCACTATATTTATGGCCTCTCCTCAATACTATGACCTTCTCTCTGGATTCTATATTAGGGAATTTTTATGATATGGCAGAAAATCTGAAGTTTAGCAATGCCTAGATCTGGGTTCAAATCCTGATGCCTCACTTGCACATAATCTCCTATAAAGCTATTTCACCTCCCTGAGCCTCGGTTTCCTCATCTAAAAAAGTACAAACCCATCCACATAGAAGAGATGAGAATGAAAAACAACATAATGTGTTCAGGGTTTATATCAAGCAGAATATTTTTTTTAAAATGTAATCTCTTTTTTCTTTAAAGTCCCTACGTGCACTATTGAATTTTATAGACGTGAAAGCAGCCATTAGTTAACTTCTATGATCATTTGAAGACAAGCACCTTTAAATGACTTCATAAAAGTAGAAATCTAAACATATCAAACAACATGTTAATAAAACAGCTTCAGAAAAAAAAAAGTGGTAAGAAGCAACTCTTACAGTCAACTGTACCTCGTTAGGTTCAGGAGAAAATGCTGCTGGAAAAATCTACTGTGACCCAGGTATTTTGACTAATTGACTAGAAAATGAGAAAATTGTTAACTAAGCAATGTAGTTTTTTTAAAGTATCCCTCCTCTGTACACAGAAAGAACCTGGGAGTTGCAAAGAAAACTAGAATTCTTAAACTTGTACTCATTCTTTCTTCAGCTTAGAGCACTAATTTCATAGGATTTGGAAATTCTCAAGAAAATAATATTACTTAGTTTTTAGAAAATGTTTATCTTAGAAAATTTAAAATAATATCTTCATACTCACATAAGACATGGACATATTTTAAATTTTATGATGTATTTATATCCTCATTCCTTTACATTAAAAAGAAAATTGGTCATAAATGATGGAAAAATGTCATTAAAAAGAAAATAATTTATGTTGATTGTCATTCTGTGTGATTAGAAAATAATATCAAATAACATCACTTTGTAATGTTTCAAAATTATATAAATCCAGGACTGGGGCATATCTCAGTGGTAGAGCAAGTACTTAGCAAGTATAGGGTCTGGGTTTAATCCCCAGCACCAAAATAATATATATCTATAAATCCAACTTCATATTATCAACAACTAGGAACAACTATGTTGGTAATTTCTCAAGTCAAAAAGTAGTATAAAATGTTTAATTCTAAGATGTATTAAATATGAGTTCATAATAACTCATAACAAAGAAAAATTGTAGTCATAAAGAAGATAGCTTAATGGATCTGTATAGAACACTTTTAATATCAGTGCCTGACTTCTTTAATTTTTAATGAGGTGCAATGTTATTTATGGCTTAATATTTCATTTACCATCAATAAAGGCTTATTCTATAATTATTATTCACTTCCTTCTAAGATAGAAAACTCTCCATGAAAGGGAAGCTCAGTCTAGGCAAAAAAAAAAAAAAAAAGATAACAAACACATAAGCATAGCACAGTGGTTTTACTAGGCAGCTCTCAATAAGGAAATATAAGAAGTAGAAACTATGATTTGCCACAGAAGAAAATCTGATCTAACTGGGTTAAAAAATAAAATTTTTAGAACTAGGAAAACGGCAAAGCCACAAATGATTAAGTGCAAAAAAGAATGAAATTGTTCTTCTATCTGGGAATGATATAATGATGGAACAATAGTGAGTCAGGATATTGAGATCTTTTAAATAAGGTTATGTTTGAAATTGAGACTTCAAGGAAGAAATAGGTATTTGAACTGTTGGTTGAGAGAAATCTATAAAAATCAGCACTTAGAAACATTTCCTGCTTTACTGGTAATGCCAGTTTGTATGCTTTATTTCATTTTCATATTTTTCCTTTGCATTCTTAAATGCCACTCACTTTCTTAATGTGTTCAAGTTCTTAGGAGTCTCTGTCCTACAAGTTACTGCTAGCCCAGAGTTCATGCTCAACTATGGTAATCTTCTCTAGATATAACAAGTTTGCTTATTATTCCATTTCTAAATTGTTTATTAATGATTAGTTTGTCAATTATCTCCTAAATACTGTGCTGGTATAGCTGAGAAAAAAAAGATGGTCAGGGTCACTAACCATCTAGTTGGGAAGATTCAGTTTTTTAAAAAATAAAACTTATGGTGGGTGTGGTGACTCATGCCTGTAATCCCAGCAACTT